ATGTTTAATAGCCTATATGATTTTCATAACATTTTAATTAATAAATAAATGTTATTTTACAGTAAATTTGAGGAAGAAGTTGGTGCAAATTTGTCAGATGAACAACTACAAAGATTGCGAACAAATAATTTTGTTCAATGGTTTAAAAATATGGTAATTAATTGTTATATATTATTTTTCAAATTTTTAATTAAATATTAAATATTACTAAATTAATTTTTTTTTCAAATATAGGTGTTTAGTGGACAATATAAAATCAATGAACAACTTATCCACCTTGCAGTTGGCTCGATCTTTGAAGTGAATGTTTATAATGGGTTCTTTGTGAACGGCTTTAAATTTTTGACTAAAGAGTTTACTAGTACTAGAAGGACATATAACTGTGGTGTTTGTGTTAAAGGAACCATTATTAATTCTGCAGATGAAAGTAATTATTATGGTGTCTTAAAAGAGGTGATCGAGTTATTGTATTATGGACACCCAGGCCATCAAGAGACTATAATATTGTTTAATTGTGATTGGTATGGCACGAACTGAGGAATACGTGTTAATGTTGAACACGGAATTGTTGATGTCAATCCAAGGTTAAACTTTCAACGGGGGAGCCATTTTGCCTTGTTAGTTAAGCACAACAAGTTTATTATACTCCATATTCGGCAGTCATGGATAGAACTACCCAGGGATGGTTGGCAACATGTAAAATCAAATCTAGACATGTAATTGAGACCTCATCTACCTTATCTTCAGGAGAGGTTGATGATATTTTTCAAGATGATAACCCCTTTATAATGCAAGGCTCTTTATTAGCTATAGATTTAACTACATACCAATCACTTCAACTATCTGCAGAAGGTGTTACAGAAGTTGAGGTTGATGCTAATACATTTGAAGAAGAGGAGGACTATGGAGAAGAAAAAGATTCAGAATCCTCAGGAAATAATGATAATGTTGAGGATGGTGATGATAGCGATGAGAGTGATATTAATTGAAACATCTGTATTATTACTTATTAAATATATATATTAAAATTTCTTTGTCTTACATATATTGTTTTATCAAGTTATAAATTTTTCATTTAAAATAGAATTATTGTATGATTGTTCTAAATTTGTTATTTATTATTTGTATAAATGTATTAATAACTAT